ATATACAGTATCTCACAGAAGTGAGTACACCCCTCACATTTGTGTAAATATTTTATTATATCTTTTCATGTGACAACACTGAAGAAATGACACTTTGCTACAATGTAAAGTAGTGAGTGTACAGCTTGTATAACAGTGTAAATTTGCTGTCCCCTCAAAATAACTCAACACACAGCCATTAATGTCTAAACCGCTGGCCACAAAAGTGAGTACACCCCTAAGTGTAAATATTGACACATTGGGCCCAAAGTGTCAATATTTTGTGCGCCCACTAGGGGTGTAACGGTACACGTATTCGTACCGAACCGTTTCGGTACGGGTCTTTTGGTTCGGTACGCACCGACCATGGTGAGGCCTGTTCTGAGTGGAACCTGTCCTGTTAAACCGCTGTATGGTCTTGACCACCGTGCTGCAGCTCAGTTTCAGGGTTTTGGCAATGTTCTTTTAGCCTACGCCATCTTTATGTAGAGCAAAAATTCTTTTTTTCAGATCCTCAGAGAGTTCTTTGCCATGAGGTGCCATGTTGAACTTCCAGTGACCAGTATGAGAGAGTGAGAGCGATAATACCAAATTTAACACACCTGCTCCCCATTCACACCTGAGATCTTGTAACACTAATGAGTCACATGACACCGGGGAGCAAAAATGGCTAATTGGGCCCAATTTGGACATTTTCACTTAGGGGTGTACTCACTTTTGTGGCCAGCGGTTTAGACATTAATGGCTGTGTGTTGCGTTATTTTGAGGGGACAGCAAATTTACACTGTTATACAAGCTGTACACTCACTACTTTACATTGTAGCAAAGTGTCATTTATTCAGTGTTGTCACATGAAAAGATATAATAAAATATTTACAAAAATGTGAGGGGTGTACTCACTTCTGTGAGACACTGTAATTAGCCTATTAGTTACTGCCTTAAAGTGTTAGTAGACTTTCCTAAACTAACTTTTTAGTGTCATGTCAGTTCCAGAATATATTCCAGAGTAACAGAGTATAAATGGCCTCATACAGCATGCAGATGTAATATTGCTGTGTTACTCAATTACACCACATCTGACCCCCATTTCCACATACACCATTCTACATCCCTCCTTTCCTGCCTTGCTTAATTTACAGGTCTGTCCCTGGCTGTGCTCTGCCAGTGAATCTGTCTTGTGGGTATTAATACTGACAGAGAGGATGGGAAATTAATGGTGCATGTAGTGAAATTAAAGCCCTGTCTAATGACTGCACCTATCTCCTTTCTGACCTTGTCTCGCAGCCCACAAGGGCACTGGGGTGAACCGTAAATCTCACAAATCCATCTCTATAACCTTACAGTGTGTTATCAATGAAAGTTGTGGAAATAAAATGTGTGCGTGTTCACGCTACAGCTACAGGTTTAACCGAATCTGCATGAATGAAAGGAGGTGTGTCTGTGCACGGGTGTTTCATTGTGTTGTATGATGTGTATGCATGCATTTTATATGTGTATTCGCTAACTCAAGGTTATGCATGGACATGATTTATTATTACTGATTATTACAGGTTCATAAAAGATGCATCATCTACTGTAATCATGTGTGAGCGTGTGTAAATGAGGGCTTTTGCATTTACCTGCTGTATTCGCAACCTCCCTTCCTTCCCCAGTCCCTGCTTCTGTTGTCATAGCAACCCTCTGATGATAACAATAGGGACTAGAGGTGTTTGGGGAGGGTTCAGGGGGAAAAGGACGGGAAAGGAATAAAGAGAGAAAGAGCGAGTAGAGGCGGAGGAGGCAAAAGAGCTACTTCTCCAGCTGATTGCCATAGCTCATCAAATTCCTTCACATCATCGGCACTATGACTAACCACAGCCCTGTCCAAAACACTCACCCACTCGCACATTCTGACTCTCTCTGATTGCTCTGTTTTTGCTCTCTCCCACCACCAATGTCTTCACATCATTGCCATGATGATGCTAATTAAGTGCATGACAACCATGACCACTTGTGTATTTGGAAGGCTCATTTGCTGTTGTCCACATGACGTCCTGCAATAGTAGTGTCTCGGCAGAGCGGCAGAAATGGCTTATGTAATGAGATGCGGGTATCAAGGTTGTAGGATTGGTTTGAACACAGACTTGATATTATAATTATTAAAACAAACCGGTGATTGAAGCAATGAGTCACAGTGACCAGCTTGATCATATTCACAAAGCAAATTCAGTTGCATAGAAGTAAGTCTGGCAATATGTGACCACATGTGGACCACAAAACCAGTCTTAAGTCGCTGAGGTATATTTGTAGCAACAGCCAAAAATACATTGTATGGGTCAAAATTATTGATTTTTCTTTTATGCCAAAAATCATTAGGATATTAAATAAAGATCATGTTCCATGAAGATATTTTGTAAATTTCCTACTGTAAATATATTAAAACTTAATTTTTGATTAGTAATATGCATTGCTAAGTACAAATTTAAAGGCGATTTTCTCAATATTTCGATTTTTTTTGCACCCTCAGATTCCAGATTTTCAGATAGTTGTATCTCGACCAAATATTGTCCTATCATGACAAACCATACATCAATGGGAAGCTTATTTATTCAGCTTTCAGATTATGTATAAATCTCAATTTCGAAAAATTTACCCTTATGACTGGTTTTGTGGTCCAGGGTCACATATAGGGAAAATAACATTTACCTCATATCCTAAGTCTCATTTTCTATGTACTTATACATTAATAAAAATAAATTAAAACATTTTAAAGGGATAGTTCATCAAAAATGAAAAATGTGTCGTCATTTACTTATGCTCATGTCCTTCCAAACCTGTATGACTTTTTCGTCTGTGGAACATAAAAGAAGATATTTTGAAAAAATTGTTTGACTATACAATGGAAGTCAGTGGTCACCAAAACTGTTTGTTTACCAGCATTCTTTAAAATATATTCTTTTGTGTTCTGCAGAAGAATAAGTTGTGTCTGTTGTCTGTATCTAGCTGTTTTCTACATAACTTTGTATCAAATTAATTGTGATAAGATTTTCTAGTTTTAAGAAAGTCACCATTTTCAGTATTTACATTAGTCATTGTCAAGTCATGATGTCACATTTATTTATGTAGCAGTTTATAAAATACAGATAAAATACTTAGAAATTCTTTTTAATTTGATGTTGCTTATAATTTTATGTCTTTAATTCCTAAACAGATTAAATGGATGTTTGAATACCAATAAATGTGGAGATGCATTATTAAAGTGAATTTGGCTGTTTCTCTTGTTTGTTCTCTCACGCTCCTGCAGGGATCTGCCTCAATATGGACACAAGCAGTGGCAGTCCTATTTTGGCCGAACATTTGACATATACACCAAGCTGTGGAAGTTTCAGCAGCAGCACAGGTCAGCCCTCTAGATAGATCTATTTTTGAAACCGAAAGGTCTGTTTTTACCAAAAGCACAAAAATAGAGCAGGTTTTTTGGCTTAGAACTACGTAAGACTGACGATTTAATATGCATGATCAAACTTCCCTCTGATGGTTCGTCTGCACCAATGATGTCAACATTAATGACAGATGATTTCTTATTTGGTTTTGCTTTACTGGAGAATAGACAAGTCCTGGACAACCGGTACGGTCTCAAGAGGTGGCAGATAGGGGAAGTGGCCTCAAAAATTGGCCAGCTGTACTACCATTACTAGTAAGGAGCTTTTTTAACACAACTCTTTATTCAGCTCGTTTCAAACTGTGTATTTTAGGTATTTTTTTTACACATTATTATTTTTTAATCTTCAGCCTCCGCACTTCAGAAACAAGCTACCTAAATGAAGCCTTTTCCTTTTATTCGGCAATTCGCCAACGATCATATTACCACCAAGTCAACAAGGAAAACAGGTGAAAAGAAGCTACTGTACATACTTGTTTGATTTTGATTTACCATGTTCTGGAAAGTTCTTTGAAGTAACATACTTATGAGCAAAAGTAAAGATCTCAAATGTCTGTATTATACAGTCTTCAGTTCATTAATCTCGCCCTGTTTCCTTTGCGCAGGCCAGAGCTGGTTGTAAAAAAGCTGAGGTATTATGCTCGGTTTATCGTTGTTTGTCTGTTGCTCAACAAGATGGACCTAGTTAAAGTGTTGGTCAAGGTAAGTCATGGACAGCAGACCAAACGAATCAGTTACACATTTTTAGTCCATGGCTCACTATAGATATTGAACAGAGGTTCTTGCCAAAAGATTGGTCAGCACAGACAGTCTGTTGGCCACTTATGCATCTGGAATTAAGACAAAAATCATGCCTCATCAATTTTGGCACATTTATGTAAAATTACACACCGTCAGCCATTACTCATATACATTTTTTTAATTTAATATTTACAAAGTACTAATCCCTATACTGCCAACAATGCACTGTTTATGAGAAGAAAAACAAAGTAGGCTATACATGGGTGTGTCTGAGACCATCTGTGGTGTCTTTTTCTGCAGGAGCTGTCTGAAGAGATTGAGGACTACACCCAACGCTTCAACACAGAGGACCAGTTAGAGTGGAACCTGGTGCTGCAGGAAGTTGCTGCTTTTGTGGAGGTGAGATTTTAGTCTATAATGTGCATAAAAGTGCAATCAGTATCACCATGAAACGCCATTCACAGTTCATTTACTTCCATAATGTGATGACTTGCCAAGTGAAATAGAAAAATAGGGAAAAAAAAAAGTTTTCTACCTAATATTAATGTTAAAAACCTAATTATGTATAAAATTAATGTAATAAAACTAATTATGCAATAAAACTATGACTGTTGTTAGAATGTAATAATTGTGATTAAAAATAAATTATATTAAAAAATACTGTATAAAACACATTTAATTAATATCCAATATTCAACCCTAAAAATATATATATTTAATAAAGTCGTTATTTCCTTTCAACTTCTTTAGTGGATTCAAACTCCAGTTTAAAAAGCCCTGCTCTATATGATGGATAGGGAGAGGGGCTTGAAGCATAGTCATGTGGGCATATGAGGTGGAGCAAGTTAGGATTTTGCTGAAAAATTATGAAACCGTTTTTACATTGGAATATTATACACCAGTTCACAGTAAGACCAAGCACATACATTATACTACTGTTCAAAAGTTTGTGGTCAGCCTTTTATGCTCACAGAGGCTGCATTTATTTGTTCAAAAATATAGCAACAACAGTAATAATGAAATATTATTACTATTAAAATGATCAATGTTAGGGTGGCCATACGTGCCATTTTTACGGGACACGTCCTGGCCAGGATTTCTATATTTGGCTTCGTTTTCCTGTTTTCATACTTCCTTAGGGTAATGATCGAAAAGTAGCTTGACCAATAACGTGCAGGCATTGTACATAATCGACCAATCGAGAAGGTGGGATCTATAGAGAGCAGTCAAAGCGATACAAATACGCATACAGATTAGATGTGTTCATTCGTTCATTCGACTTGAAGCGGCGCTGTGCAAATCGATCAGTGTTTGACATCAAAGTACTGCGAGAGCGATTCGAAAGCATAAGGAGCTTCTGCTCTCTATAGCTCTCACGGATGTCATACACCGATCGGACCTGGATATTTGAGGTAATATAGAAATCCTGGCCAGGACGTGTCCCGTAAAAATGGCACGCATGGTCACCCTAATCAATGTTGACTGTATTTGTGCTTCGTAATATTTTTCAGGATTTTTGATGAATAGAGAGTTAAAAAAAAAAAAACAGTTTATCTGAAATGGACATCTTTTGTAACATAAACGTCTTTACTGTCACTTCTGATCAATTAAGTGCTGAATAAAAGTATTAGTTTGTTTCAAAAGTCTTACTGAATGGTAGTGTACAGTAAATCAGATTAATTTTTTATTACTTTAAAAGAGAAATTTGTCAAATGTGCACTCTTAAAAAACAAAATATCTCAAATGCTATACTTATACACAACCTTGACTGTTACTTAAAGGACAGGCTTAGTGCAAAGTAAGACTTTTGGCACTGTTTATGACAAATATTCATATTTTCTTGACATTTGTGTAATTTTTTTTTTTTTTACTATTTTTCTATCTACACAGGCAGATCCTCTTATGATCCTAAATGATGACAATGCCGTGGTGGTCCTATCCAATCGGCTGCAGGAGGGGGGTGTGCCCCCTCTTGAACAGGGCATGGTGGTTGGCCAGCTCACCTTGGCAGATGCGCTCATCGTTGGCAACTGTAACAATCAGGTGGGAGTACAGCTGAGCAAGTTACATAAGTCAAACTCAAGCGGTGCTTTCTTATGTAAATGATTAGACACTTCAAACTTGTCGTGTAGGTTATAATAACCATAGTGTTTATTATAGTCTGGTTTTTGTGATGGATGGATTTTATGTGGTTTACAGGTGAAGTTTAGCGAGCTGACCATCGATATGTTTCGTATGCTCCAAGCGCTTGAGAGGGAACCAGTGAACCTAGCCACACAAAGCTCCAAGCCAGGGACACTTGTAAGAGAAGACTCTTACACTCTCCCTGTCACTCTCTATGTTGAGTGTTTCTGAGTATTTCCACCCTTCCTCCCTTGCTATTTCAGTACTTCACCTTTGTCAGTGGCTCTCTCTCACTGTTCTTTCTCACTCCGCCTGCTCTCGGTGTCTCTCTATTCCTCTCTCACTCATTTATCTCTCTTATTATAGGAGCCCAATGAAAAGCCAGCCAAGAGAGAGAACCCTCATAAATATCTCCTCTACAAACCAACCTTCAGCCAGCTCTACACTTTCCTGTCTGCCTCCTTCAAGGTTTGGCTGATGTCATTCCAGTTTTTAGCACCTGTCAATTTGTTGTCAATCCATCCTGTCATTTATGTCCTGGTTTGACTCTATATTGCGCAAGACCTTGTAGCCGACACGATGATTAAGCTTAAATCAAATGTGCCATAACCATCGATATGTTTCGTATGCTCCAAGCGCTTGAGAGGGAACCAGTGAACCTAGCCACACAAAGCTCCAAGCCAGGGACACTTGTAAGAGAAGACTCTTACACTCTCCCTGTCACTCTCTATGTTGAGTGTTTCTGAGTATTTCCACCCTTCCTCCCTTGCTATTTCAGTACTTCACCTTTGTCAGTGGCTCTCTCTCACTGTTCTTTCTCACTCCGCCTGCTCTCGGTGTCTCTCTATTCCTCTCTCACTCATTTATCTCTCTTATTATAGGAGCCCAATGAAAAGCCAGCCAAGAGAGAGAACCCTCATAAATATCTCCTCTACAAACCAACCTTCAGCCAGCTCTACACTTTCCTGTCTGCCTCCTTCAAGGTTTGGCTGATGTCATTCCAGTTTTTAGCACCTGTCAATTTGTTGTCAATCCATCCTGTCATTTATGTCCTGGTTTGACTCTATATTGCGCAAGACCTTGTAGCCGACACGATGATTAAGCTTAAATCAAATGTGCCATAGAATGTACTCTTAAATGACAAATTGTACTTTTAGCAAACATTCACTACCGTTCAAAAGTTTGGGGTCAGCAAGAGCTTTTTATTTTTGAAAGAAATTTCATACATGGATGCATTAAATTGATCAGTAAAGACTTTTACATTGTTTGTTTATTTATTTATTTATTTATTTATTTAATAGCTGTTCTTTTGAACTTGACACAAAAATTTGTTTCCACAAAAAAAAAAAGCAGCACTACTGTTTTCAACATTGATGATAATAATAAGAAATCTTTCTTCAGCACCAAATTAGCATATTAGATTGATTTCTGAAGAATCGTGTGACACTGAAGACTGGAGTAACAATTGCTAAAAATCATCAAAGGAATAAATTACATTTGAAAATGTATTGAAATAGTAGGCAGTTATTTCAAATGCTAATAATATTTTACGCTATTACTGTTTTCAGTGTATTTTTGCCTTGATAAGCAAAAGAGACTTCTTTCAAAGTTATTTAAACATCTTACTGACCCAAACTTTTGAACAGCAATGTACCTATTTAAAATGTACTCTTTCTCTTGAGCAAAAACACACCAAAGATATCTTGTACTACACAGATTTATATCCAAACAAATGCTCACTAGAATGAAAATGTTCCTTCCTATAAAATGTAAAACCTACAGCTAGACTAAATCCTTTTGGCTATTTAAAATAGGGAGGAGCCCAAACCTGTTTCAATAGGAAACACATTAACAGCTCATCGAATGATTTTATGGGGCTTTTAAAGCCTGAGGATCTCATTATAATTCAATAGTCAAGGGCAAATACAAATAAAACTGCTTTATTTCTGTACAGTTATTGCATTCTGGTTGTCTATCCCGTGTGCTAGTTTGGGTTCTGTTGTCTCGAGTGACACCTCGTGTGAGCGTGTGTGCAGCAGCATGGCATGCTACAGGGGTGTTAGCGTGTTACTATCTACTCTGCTGTAGCGTAGCGCCTCAAGAGTGTGAGGAAAACCCACACGCACACATGACTCAGATACTTTGATTTTGCTATGCAGCAGTTCTTTTTGAACATTTCATTTTTTCCCCATCGTGCTTCATTGTTTGTTTAGATAAATAATTACAAATAATTGTCACAGGCACTTGCATGTGCTTTTTTTAACCATTTCCAGTCATTAGCTGTTCTGTGTGTGCGTTTCACTGTTTGCAAAGATGAATACTACCTCCTGTTATATTGTGAAACGTATTATTAGTCTTGAGGGTGTTACTGAGATGCTCTGGCTGCATAGCACTTAAGAGTGCCACTGAACTTAATAATTAGCTTGCTATGACACTGCTTTACTATTTGTACTATTGTGAATGTTCTGATTTAATTAGCCAATTAAAAGGATCCATTTTTCTGATGAAAGTTTTCTTTTCTTTCACTGATTCTTTTATTGCTAGGAGCTGCCAGCCAATAGTGTCCTGCTGGTTTATCTCTCTGCCACTGGAGTGTTTCCTACTGGACGCTCAGAGTGTGAAGGTATGCCGAGGTGTTTTAGCTCACTGTTGTTCTGACATCACTGGATGTTCTCTTAATATTTACATAAATATCTACTAAATATAAGCACTTGTGGAACACTGCTCAGCCAATCAAATTAGAGGATTCAAAGATTTGTGTAATATATGATGTGTCTTACAAACATACTGACTTCGAAAACATATATTATGTATGATGTGTCTTACAAACATACTGACTTCGAAAACATATCTGCATTAACAGACTGATACTAAATGCTTGTCAGCCTTTTCCGTGGAGAATAATATCTAATCTTTCAACTTTTGAACATGTTAAGTGGGTATTTTCTGCATGAAAAAATCCATGCGAGAATATCTGGAAGCGTAATGTACGTAGAGCAGAAATTATATACACCACTGTTCAGTCTCTTATGCTCACTATAATATGTTTATTGTTGTCTATCAATAGTAAGTAATATTATAATCGATAATATTGTGAATTATTACAATTCAAAATATCCTTTTTCTGTTTCAGTATATTTTGAAATGTAGTTTATTCCTGCGATGGCAGAGCTGAGTTTTCAGAAGCCATTACTCCAGTCTTCAGTGTCACATGATCCTTCAGAAATCATTCTAATATGCTGATTTGGTGTTTAAAAACAATTATTACCATTATCAGTGTTGAAAACAGATCTGTTGCTTAATATTTTTGTGGCAACACTGATACATTTTTTTAATCGAGATTCTTTGATGAAAAGAAAGTTCAAAAGAACATGTTTTAAATAAAAATTTTTGTAACATAATAAATAATATGTATTTACTGTCATTTTTGAGCGGTAGTGTTGAAAATGGGCAAACAGAAGTTGATCCGCCTAGAAAAGTATTCCCAGTGCAAAGGGAAGACTTAGACTTCCATGATGCTTAATTTTGATGAATGATCCATACAAGTCAGATCTGTCCTATCGTTATTACTTAACATCACCATTTCTTTATTTATAGGACCTTATGACTTTGGCGGTGTCCTGACCAATACTAATCGAGATGTGGTAAACGGTGAGATGGTGCAGAAGAGAAGCCAGGCACAAAAAGAGATGCACTGGTGAGCCTTCATTGACATCCATTCTGTGCTGGTCTACTGTAGAGGTCTGCGCGGGACTGTTTTTTTTTTAGTCTCGCTCCCGCAAGGTTATATTCCGCACCCACCTGCTCCCGCTATATATTCACTCTTTGTTCGCCCGCTGTCCGCTTAGAATAATTTTCTTCCCGACCCGACCGTTCCCGCTAAATTTAGATCTCGTTTCCAGAATCTCACATTTAAATTTCCGCTACTGAAAGAAAGAGACATAGGCTAACAAATAAAAGTTTAGTCTGCACAAAATTGTATTTATATAATTCGTCTTGTCAAGAGTCTTGAAGTTATTGACAGCAACTGCTGCCAACACAGTAGGGGGAAAAAAGTGTCGCAGAGAAAATAAAAATGTTGTACAAAAATTGTATTTCTTATTTTTATTCATCTTGTCAGGATACAATTTGTTTAACATTTAAAACAATAGGAAAAAGTGTCACAGAGAAAAAAAGTAGGTTGTACAGAAATAGTCTAGCTATTTTTATTCGTCTTGTCAAAATACTAAATTCGTTTAACATTTAGCGGTACACAGTAGGAAAAGTGTCGCAGAGAAAAAATACATAAATAAATAGGCTACGACATCTGTCATTTAAAATGATAGGCTAAGCAAAATATAAACAAAACCGAGTTTAACGTCCTTCAAGGACAGCGCAGCCACATTTTGCTCCATCCTTATTCTGCTCTGTCACTCATCGACAACCTGCCTGTTCTGCCTGAGGACCCTATTTACCACCGGTAGGCTACAGCCTGCTCTGACCATCGTTATTCACATGCTGCGCACAGACCTCGCAAATAAAATGCGTGACTCAGAAAGCGCTGGTTCATGCGTGCAGCGCGTGCATATGCACCGCATACGTAACGCACACGGACCGCATACGCACCGCAGACGGAGTATGTGTGAAACAGGCGTAACAGTCCTGAGTGCAGGCTGTACCGGTGGTCAATAAGAATAAAGGACAGATATGTTGTTCTGAAAGGACGTCGGGAACGGGATATTGTTAGACGGCCCACTCCCGTTCAAATTACACCAGTTACCGACCGCTACCGCGTTTTATTCGGGAATTTAATCCCGCGTCGCAAGAAATATGGTCGGTTCCCGCGGGAGAGCTGCGGGAATGCAGACCTCTAGTCTACTGTTCATAGAAACTAAAATGCGCTAACTATATGTCTGATGAGACACTGAGGTGTTATTTTAACACGCATGTATGCGCAAATGTGTATTTTTTTTTCAGTCTCCACCCAGGAGACCTTTTCTCCTTCACCAGGAAACCTCTGTTTATCATTGTCGACTCATCCAACAGCACAGCTTATAAGGTGAGACATCAGCTCTCCGTCTCCCTGTCTTTGTCACACGCTCACATTTCTTCCATCATTGCAGTATTCTGTGACATCATGAGGCCATTCATTATTCAAAAGCAGCCATGTGGTTGCTCGGTAAATAAGACTGTCTGACTTCTTGACTAGGATAAACATGAGAATAATCAGCAGAAAGAAACCTTGTAATAGGGACACAGTAGTAATTTTTCTTTTTACTCATAGACTGATTTCATCAACCTTCTTTTTCTTTAACTGATTTTCTTTATTTGGCTGCTTAGTTCAGTAATGGAGTGCCTTCTTGTGTTCATATTGACATCGTGTACTAGTAGAAATTATTTTTCATGTATTTTTCCTGTCTTTCCACAGAATTTCTCCAATCTGTTTGGCCAACCACTTGTTTGCCTGCTTTCTCCGACAGTGTATCCGAAGAGCATGCAAGGTCTCCTTTTTTGTTTTGCCATTGTGTTAGGAGACAGGAAACATTTTTAATATTTGCTTAACGTTTGTTTTTCTTTTCTTTGAAGTAGGATTGTCTATTATTTATATTGATTATTCTATCTTGCAGACCAGTGTCAGCGTGGGAGTCTGTTTACTCTTTTCCTTTACAACCCCCTCATGGGCTTCCTGTCTGTGTGTGGACTGAGCAGCATGCGCTATGGATTGTGGGAAAAGGCCCAGGAACTCCTGCGGAAGGTTTTCCATGACATTGGCCAGATGATCACGAGCTCCCGAGTTATAGGTAATGCCAATATGTCATCCCTTTCTTTTTTATGCTTACATTAATTTTTGTATATCAGTGACATGTTTGACCAAGCGTCAGATATGTATTTCATAGTTTTCCTGTTGACTGTCTTCCAGATCAGGCCTATCTGCAGTTTTATGGCGATGAATTTCTTCGTCTGCTCATGATCCGTTTCGTGTTCTGCTGCACCACGCTCCGATTACACAAGCTCTTCCAGGTGAGACTTAACTGAATAAATATTATATATGTTTATATAATAAACACAATGTGATTAATAATGATAATGTTTATTGCTAATAGCCATATTTGTCACATGATTGTAAATGAATAAATATTAAATAATAAATAAATGAATATTAAAAATATATTCATATATGAGGTGATCCAGCTAATCTTTAAACTTTCTAAAAACAGACTGATTCCATTTATCTATAGGCTACTAAAATTGAGCTGTGAATCTATTGTTACTTGAAAGCTCGAAATTGACTTCTTTTGAGATCCACTAAAATAATATCTTGTTGTTTTTTTTGTTGTTGTTTTTTTTTGTAAATATGCATATCAATCAATCCTTTTTTATTATATGTAGACTAAAATGATGGTGCCCTTATACCAGGGGTCGGGAACCTTTTTTGACCGAAGAGCCAATTTAAAATTTTTGGTTAATGCATTTTTCCAAAAGAGCCTATATATATATATATAGAGCCTAATATTATAAAAAAATGCATGTTTTCTTTTTTTCAATAACGTTTTAATAATAGTAACTTTATTAGGACCATGGAAACTAAAATACACAAATATTCAACAAATTGTC